AACAAAACGTAGATAAAAAGGATGGAAGTCACGGTTCAAGCTAAATCGCTCACTCATAACCGATGTTTGCAATAAGCAGAGTAAAATCATTGTGAACCCGCTCAGGGCCTTTTGCATGATTCAATTTACAAGTAAGCAGTGAACATATTTAATATTTTTTGCTGCTGATGTTTGTGGTGTTGTTATATAATTAGAATACGTGATATTGTAAAGCTATTATTTCTTTTAAATATACATTTCTGGGATTTTGTCCACAATCTAAAGAATATACAGCGCAACAATTTGAAAAAGGCTCCAAAAGGGTTGGTTTTATTGGACTGCTTCCCTTCACCAAGGTCTCGGAAAAGACAGCGGTGTTTGAACAAACCATGGAAACTATAACAATGAACGGGTACTCCGTCAAAGTGTGTGTTTGTGTTTTCTCAAAACAAACAAGTGGGATTTCTTAGTAAAGTCTTTGTATCTGTGCGGGTCCAAAAGCAGAACACAGGGCACTGGACAGGTCGCAGCCAACAACCTTCTCTTGGCACCAGTTCTTCTTTTGTTCTGGCGCTTGTCAACCGAAACCGAAATATCCATATTCCATTTCCTCAGTTGGGCCCTAAACCACCGGATCTTTTTGGAAAGGCTTGGATACATCATCCGAGGTCCGGCAGGCATTGACACAGCCTGCTGATTGGCAATGTTGCTGCAGTCCATGAACCCAAGAAATGACACCAAAAAATAGAATAGGAAAAACCAGAGTTACAAAACCAGGTAAATATGTCAACCTGTCCTTGGGCCGGTGCTGCAATCCAGACTGTTTAACGTTGATCTCATTTACAGGTTTGAACGCACTGCAGCATCTTCCAAGCAGCAGCAAGTAGCACTCTTACATTCAGCTTTAAAGATGAGGCACAATTAATTCACTTTTGTTTTAGTGCTTGAGTAACGATGATACATTCAGGTTCAGGAGTATTTGTCTGGAGACCTGTGATTAACATTGTTTAGCGGCTGCTTGTTACAAACTCACTACGAGCGAGGATTAGCCCAGCCCAAGTTTGTGCACGTGTGCATAAGAAATGCTGTTAGTGGATATCAATCTAGGTTTGGTTAAGCACTCAAGTTCAAGCAGTCCTAATTAATCTGTGCCAATGCCATCGAGTCTATTTCGGGAGCATTGTTACAGTACGTTTTGCACTGTGAAGCCAAGCGGTGCTACCTCAGACCAATACATTGCATCAAGACATCCCGTGTGATTTTTTCAGAGAAATTGGTTCCCAACAGGAGATGGTGTATCTGCAGGAGTGTGGTTTAAATAAATTCAACAGTACTTTTCTTTAAGCTCTGGGGGGCTGTGATCGACAGCACCGGCCCTGACGAGCCCCACTCGGTCCCCAGTAGCAGCGGCTGTTGTGAAGGCCGCCGCGATCCTCTCCCTGTCCAGCGCTGTGGTATCGAGTGCAGCGCTGGCAGTGCAAAGACTCCATGAACGCAAACAAGCAGGCAGAGGTTAATGACTCAGCTGCGCGCTGGCCTGGTCGCCTGGCCGGTCGCAGTGGGTCGGGCCTGCTCACCCATTCCTCCCGCACCTTTGTGGAAGCAGGTCGAGTGCATTGTCTTTGAACAAAAGAGCCCATGCACGACCCACAACAAAAACTGACATGGGCGCATAGGGGGAAAACAAAAACACCGCAGGGGTGCGAGGGTCGAGGGGAGGAGGTTCTCCCATGCCATTTCACTCAGAAGTGCAAGGAAGTTGATATTCAGCTCACTCAGGCCGAAGCATTGTGGGAGCGGACCGGGTGACATGGGAGACGTTAAAGCTGAATCCCTTTACCAAATGTTCCTGTTCTCCCAGTACACCAATGCGCACAAGAGATATTCATGCACAAGCTGAATGTTTAAAACAAATATCATGTTTAAATAAGGAGATTGAACCACACGCATACAATCGGCTAAACTGCAGAAGAGAATACTATGGAACAAGAAACTCAACGTGGAGCTCTACAGCTCAACAGTGCACGTTGATTATCAGTGATAGCCACTGAATGTTAAGTGTCCTCCAAGCTCTGGTGGCCAAAGACAAGTCTTGCTGATTGGCAATACCTCCTTTATCTTGCGACAGGGGAACTTGAGAGGGGAATAAAAGAGAAGATGGACAGGGATCAAGAAGACAGCAGCAGAGGCACAAAGTTAGAGACAGGCAGTAATAGACATGACTGGATGCAGAGACAGATAATGAGACGTAGATCAACCGCACCCTGATTTCAGGGAAAGCAGGTTAACACAAGCAAACTGCCAAGTTAAAAAAGCAGCGCTGGTGGCGGTTGAGTGCGGCTGGTCTTATTTGCTTGTGTATCCGGTGCTGCGAGCTTTTCCCAGCACAAAGACGGCCATTGTCTCCTGGCAGAAAACAGGCCCGAGGGCTTATGGCCCAACATAATGTTGCACTTCATCGCTGTTTAACGCGACAAATCGCTTGTCCGCAGCTAGACAGAAAGATACGGCAGCGCAAACGGGCGACCCACAAACAGGAGGAGCCGGACGTCTGACGAAACTTACTCTCTTCTTCATTGGCATGAACGAACGACGCGGCTCTTGACAGAACATCCAGTGGTGTCTCCATGCTTGGACGCCTGTGGGAGAGAGGGGAGGGCACTGTGCTGAGCATGAGGGCGGCTTTTAATACAACAACTAGTTAATATTTTATAGTTGCCGAGTCATTCCAAGCATCGGATCTGCCACCGCAATCACAAAGGAAAAAAAAAACACTGTTAGTCCCTTAAGGTGGGGACATTTGAAATCTGCCAACACCAGAAATCGAGTTTTGGTTTCAGCAACAGTATAGTTATGTTGAAAATAGATTTCTCTGCAAAGCCTGCGCGTCTAATCACACCAACCTCACCGGTGCATCAGTGTATAATGTTGCCTCCTTAAGTAGAATGCAGTGTGTGGACGGGGGACATTCAGAGTACTTTTCATACCCATTGCACTAATACAACTTCTGTACCTTTGGTTAAGTTTTCAAAGCAGGACTTTTACTTGTATTGTTGTATTTGTAACTTGTAAGGCTGTTCTCTAGAAAACCGAATGAACATTCATCCTATGGCGGTTTTAATTGTGACCCTCCTGAGATATTTTGACTACAAAGCATTTAGCAGATTTGGGATTCTGTCTTAAGTTGTGAGCCTTCAGTGTATGAGAAGTATTTGTGGAGAAAGAAAAAACATTCTTTCTGCATTCCTGGGATACCGTTCCCTAATGTCTCAAGGAAAACAACCCTTAAAGGACGATTATCATTATCCCAGAAAAAAAAGGAGAAAAAAAAACTTACTGCATCTGCATCCAAACTGAAAACATGTTTGGGTTTGTTGTCCCGTTGCTCGTCACAACACAACGTAGTCTACGTGTTGTGCGTCAAGAAACAGCGACACACTTTTACGCACAAGCAAACAGGTTATTATTATTATTAGCAGTAGTAGTAGTGGCAAGTGCGTCCACTGTTATTGCCACCAGCGGTGCATTTATACCAGCGCGCTTCAGTGCTTCCTCGTCTGTATCCAAGCAAAATAAAAAATAAAAATAAAGATATTACTGATTATGTTTCTCTTTCACGAGGCGATGACTGAATTCCCCCGAGAGAAAGTTTTGGGAAGTGGCTTCACGTCGTGAATACACGCACACACACACACACACACACACACACACACACACACACACACACACATACACACGCCGTTTGTTTACATCGTGGAAGATTTCGCAACGACCGACCGACCGACCGACCGACTGTGGAAGGAGCGCACTCTCATCCCGCACACACGTACCTCCTTCCAGCGTCACCTCGGTGTCCTCCAGTGTGATAATGTCCACGCCGCGGAGAAAATAGAGAAGAAAAAAATAAATAAACAACAAGACACTACGCGCTAAATCCCACGCGGACACAACAACAACAACCAAAAAAACACAAGCCGCGGCCGAAACGGCGCCGTGTACGAGACAATAGTAGCGCAGCGGACGGGACCAAGTTGGTTGTAGCCTAAACGAGGAAGAGGAGGGAGGGAGGGAGGGAGGGAGGAAAGGAGGGAGGGAGCAGGGCAGGAATCCCTGGAATGATGGAATTCAGTTGCTAGCAGGTGGTGAAAGTAACGCGCGCTGATTGGCGGAGGACTTGAGCGATGATATCAGAATATATTATGATAATAAAACCTTGCGTCACATCCTACGAGAGTCACGCTGCCGTCGCCCGCTCTGCTACTTTGAGCTGGTGGCACATTTAGTAGGTGATTTAGAGAGAGTGCCTTTGTGCAAGGCAGTTAACCCTCAACTTTGTGTTTAATGTCTATTTGTGACCCCATTGGTCGTCCATATCAAATGTATTGTATAAAGGTTTACACTGACAGTAATCGCCTACGAAGCATTTGTAAACACCATATAAACATTTAAGATATATAATTAGTAATTACATACATGTAGCTATTAACAGTCATTTCTAAGGGATGTATGTATTAATTATGATTTGATTATATATATATGGATAGAGAGAGAGAGAGAGAGAGAGAGAGAGAGAGAGAGAGAGAGAGAGAGAGAGAGAGAGACGGCATAGATAACTTTTAACCCCAAAACTACATCTAAGCAACTAAGGACCTGGTGAAAGTTGTCCATTTCTAGAGACAAGAGCACATCCGTTGACAAGAACCAATTAACAGCCAAGAGGCCTCCTGCGCGTGCTTCTCCTTCAGTTCCATCTTTTTAAATCAGCCTCCTGAGAGCTACCGCCTCCCTCGTCCTCTTTCACTGTCACTTCTGCTGGACCCCCTCCTCCCCCATCTCCATCTCCATCTCCCCTCCAGATGGGACCCAGTGAGCTCCAGGTTCTCGGCATGTCAAGTAGCTGAACTCAAGGACAATTTTCTAGTCATGAGCATCATTGGTTTTCTGTTTTATTGGTTACTTTGAATATATCTCGTCTCTGTGAGGGTTTACTGGGGTAAAGAAGAGAATGATAAACAATGAACTAAATCACAGAAATGTTCTTTTTTATTGTTGGATGGCAGGGAGATGGAATTTGAATTTAATGGGTTATCATAAAGAAATGCAATGGACTACTGGTGAAAGAGAAGTACAGTACAAGAACAAAACAAAAAAAGTACGATGAATCTACTTTTGAATTATTCGTGAAGTAACTGAAGTCAAGTGTGACTCATGATACAGTGGCAAAGTACAAGGAAGTAACTGGTCATTTCACTATTGGCTGCATTATAATGGACTAATGAAACACTCGTGACACCACTTACTACATCCAAAAGTATACCTGTTGACAGAACTTTGGGATAAGAGGGAAAATAAAACTCCAACTCATGTAACTGAATTATATTACAGTAAGTTACAAAGACCTCAGACTTTAAGTATTTATTTCTCTGTCAGACTGGTAAACAATGAGAAAATGTAATCATGAAATAATTGTGATTTTATCTTTTATTTCTTTAACAAAGGCGTAAGAGAAGAAATATTGGAGATCTTTGGAAGTCAAGAGAGGGATGAGAATTAAGTTTGTGTGTGTGTGTGTGTGTGTGTGTGTGTGTGTAACAAGCAAGACCATTCCAAAACTGTGAGTTTAATAAAGGGCTCTCTCTTCAAAAAGACAAAAATACTGCACAGCAAGATCCTCCTCTTAGCCGCTCGTCATCTGACAGTCCACATGGAAAATGCACACACATCATCAAAATATGGACACCTAAGTATTTTCTTGTGGTGCTCGCTGCATGTTGTTCTCGTACGGATTCGGTGAATTTCCAATCAGTAGTACGGCAGTAAGGCAGTTGTACAAACCGTTCTACACCATGCAAACGCACAATTGCGTCTGCACAGTGGTCTCCTTCCTTAAAAGGTAGTGATGGAAACCAGTAGGTGAGTGTTTGAATCATCCTGCCACGGCTGGGAAGGGTAAAAAAACGGTGTGGCTGACAGTTTAGAGAGAAAGACGGGTCAGGACATCTGTGAGACAGACGGCTTCGTCCTCGAACCCTTCCACATCTTTATCAGCTTCTTGGAGCTGTACGAGACCGTCTTCCACAAGCCTGGGGAGCAGTTAACAGAATATGAACGCACTTCATGAGAACATCATTATACACTTCAGAGTCAGAATAAAACAGCCAATCAGCTTTATCGGCAGCTTTAATTTGAAGCAGTTTTTTCCTTCGCGTTCCAAATACTGCACATACAGTTTCTTCTTACAAATAGAGAAGATTAGAAACGATAAAAACAAGGACAACACAAAAAGCAAAACAGCTCTAAACGTTTAACAACTATACAATATAGACGCTCAAGAAAAAGAAGAAAAAAAGAGTGCCTACCAGCTGTAGCAATGCCTTTGATACTCTGTGTTATACTGGAGGATTTCACAATAGATGAAATACCTGAGGAGGAACAAAGACGTACATCTCACTTTGAGATATGGTTTTGTGATATGCTATTTGTGAATAGAGGCCATACAATTACTGAAAAAGACAAAATCAAATGTTTAGATCGATTTTGTCAATGAGTTGTGCTTTGTGTTAAACCGATGGGTCATTTTCGACAACATGTATGCTCGTATAATGTATTGTTAATATAATTGATTTGTTTGGAAGACCAACGTGCACTATTCCAGATCGCATGGACGGAATTTGAAATGAAACCTGACACGGACAACTCTTCCTGTCCTTCTATTCTACATAAATGAAACCCGCTCCGCAGTACGAACCTTGTTGAACGACAGCTCCACAGTCTGGATCCTGGGCGACTTGCAGCAGAATCTCCTCCACATCTCGGTTTTTCCCCGGAGGATCCACCAGCTTTGTGATTCTCTGCTGGAGGGTCCGAGGCAATGCCATCAGCTGATCGAACTGTCCCTCTGGGCTTTTGTCAACCTACAGGCACACAAAAGAGGAATAAATGAACAGAGATGCACACTGCAGTAAAATACTGACAAAAGGCCATTAGATAATAGATACTAAGATAGTAAAACTATGATATTCAGAAATAAATAATTGGTTTATATTCAATATAGTTTCATCCACTGCAAAATTAAAAAAACACAATTTACAGACTTGCAATGACTAAGTTGAAAACGTCTTGTTGCTTTGTGACTTTTACTGGACTGCAAGGAGTGTCGTTCACACACATAGAAACACTCATAACTACTTAATATTATATGTACCACTGTTATTTTGGATGGATAACAGCGAGACGTGGTAAAGTAAAAAAAAGATGAGTCATTACACCAATGAACATAGAAGAGGCGGACATGTTCAAACCATTAAATGTACTGACACACCCGTTGAACTAGTTGATGGTGCAAGTAAAGCAGGTAACAGGGCAGAGCGCCAGATCAGTCACGCCCCCGCTCAGTGTTTACTACAAAGGCCGGGTAGCACACGGTGTACTAATCAGGCCAAACCCGTACTGGTGTTGGGTTTAAACATGTGTTTGCCCGTTCGGCTGAAAAGGCATGACACATGGAAAAAAAGTTTCAAAGCAATGCAAGCATTTCATGGCAGATTATAGCATCTGTTTTGTTTTTTTGTTTGTTATACGTCAGACACCGTCAGCAAGTGAGATAATACAAGTGCCATGTTATACCTCTAGTTTCCCTTGTAGAGATTTGTACACCACTTGAGGGCAGTCGCGGAGGATGTTGCTGTACAGAATCCGGAAGTGTTGAATGTTGTCCGTGACGATATTGGCCACCTTAGATTTATCTTCTCCGATCACCATTCTAAAATCCCCTGACGAGACACAGACAAAAAGATTTTACTTAAGTGGATTATATTTGCTTCACAGTCTTTTATCTTTGCTGAAGTAAGATGAGATAATATATGCTATTATATATCGTAAGAGTAAATACAGGTGTTGAAACAGCAGTAGGATATAAATAGGAGCATTAAAACATTTGTCGGTTTTAAGATTAATTTGTCTGCTTTAATTTCACTTCCTTATATCCGTAAAATAAAGCACATTAGCTATGAACCAACCGTCCAATTACTTGTATTCATAATCAAGACAATTTAGCTAGAACCATGCTACTGTACATTAGTAGGCAACGCTTTGGAACCACACTGTCACTGTCTCTGTGTATGTACAGTATGTACGTATGCGTGTTCAAGCGTGTGCGTTAGTTACCGGCATAAGAAAGACCAGCTATCTGCAGGAAGAGGTCTTCCTCACTGAAGCTCTCTGGCATCATGAGGAAGGAGGCCGTCACAGCACTCTTCAAGTTGGCCACCAGAGCGGCCCGGAGCTTTCCATTCTCATTCTGCAGCAGCATTTTTACCTGCGAGGGAACACACACACAAATCAATTTGTTAACTTTATAGTCTAAGTAAAACCTGAACATCTAAATGAATAGGTCGTCATTTTTAAGTCAAATATGCAACAATATGTCCTGTATGATTTAAATACAATTTTCTTAATTTTTTTTAATTGTTTTCATAAACAACATATCTTAAATAACTCCAAGTCAAAATCTGGGAGGCGTTTGATATGTTTGACAATGAAAAGTGTGTCTAATGATTAATCCAAAACAGATACTCATGATACTGACTGGTTTGTGAAGGCGTCCAGCTACATACATGGTCCTCCAGTGCAGCAGGTCATCTATGAGAGACTGTGTACTAATCACGCCATACTTGATTATCTGAGAAGAACAGGAGAAGGTTACGAAAGTACGTCAGCTGGTAATGACGAAAAACAAACACTTAACAAATAGAAATGCAAGAAACAAATACAGTGAGAGAAATCAAGACTGAGGAGACTTAAGTGTAAATGTAGGTACCTTTCCATCCACAGGCACCAGCGTGTTGTAGTACACAGAGGCCCCATGGTCATTTTGTATGGAGCTGATCTTAGTGGGCCCCAGCAGCTTGAGGATGGAGTAGTGTTTGCGGTTCTGGAGCAGATTCATGGTGTGCCACGTCACTGGGTCATCCACAGCAAACACAAAGTCCAGCATGTTCTTCTTTAGTCAGTAAGGAAAACACAACAACATTAGAGTTTGTTTACCCATGTAAATATGACACAGCTACACGTTCTGTCATTCAATACTTCCTTTTTATCAATTTTCATTAGATTCGATCTGAGATGATGTCATCGATCGTGCTTAAGTTCGGGTTAATTGTGATTCAGAATGAAAACACAAACGTCATGAAATGTGATATAACGTTAGCTACACTCTGAAAAGTTTGGTCTGGCGTAATGCATAACGGTGGAGCACGTTCTTATAAGGCAATGGAAATATTTCGATTATTTGATAGGACATTCTTGAGACAGATGCTAAAAATGTAACGTAACGTTACAGCGCAAGTCGGTCACGAGCATAGTTTGTAAACTGGCAGGTTCAATTACCTCCATTTGACCTTGGTTGGTCCCGTGTTGTTTGAAAACACCAGATCCGTATGCAAAAGCTAAACTGAAGTCCTGAGGAAATTGGGATAAAATCCGTCTGTAAAGCACGCCAGTGTTGTGCAAAGTTGGAAGTGTCATTTTGAAATAAGTTAGCTATGATAGCTTTCCAGCAAAAACACAACCCGGTTTATTTGCGGAATAGCTGAATAAACAACATGTAAATCGACGTTTCCTGCACGTAGCGAATAAGATACATTTCAGAACAGGGGGACTCTACGCCTCTAAATACGAAAAATGCAAAAGAAATGCTCTAAAACTGAGTGTTTTTCCCGTTTGAATGCGTCCCCTAGGTCAGTTTGGGTCGCTGTGCAATAGACAGTCGACTGAAATGTGCGTCACGCTGTACGCTGGCCCCGGAGGTTCATGGGAAATGGAGTCTGAAATGGAAGGTAAGAAAACGCAGGCGTTAATTTAAACAGTCCATATAACAACTATTGTGTGGGGTATTTGGCTCGTAGTTTCGTCAATGGTTTCATACAGTCGTGAAATGTAAACTGGGCAGCTAATGACAGTATTTTCGTTATTTTTTAGACAATTTTAGCAGCTCTTAACTAAGCCAGCAGAGGGTGGTTTTCGACCAAGTTTGGCTCGCTCTCTAAGCTAAAGATGATGTGTGTTGTTGTGTTCTGTGAAAGGGGAATTTATAAAACAAAAATGTTTACCTCTGTATTTCATTCTAATATGCAATACCTGTTTTCCCCATATATTTCCACCTAATGCGTTAGTGCATTTATTTTTCTGCAGTTAATGATGTATTTGGAAGACGTTAGCATACGTTGAAGTTCCTTTGACAAAGCATAACTTTAGCAATTTAACGTTAGCTGCATCCAGAGTGCTGACCTGAAACATCTAAATGTCTTCTGGCAATATACTCGATGTAAACCAAGAATGGTAATTGCACTGGTTTAGTTTCATTAATCAGGACCAGGAATCCGGAATCAGGAAAAATGTATTGCCATAATATGTCAGACATACAAGGAATTTGACTTGGTGGTTGGTGCATAACAGCAATGGACGACAAGACAACAGTGCAATAGGAATAAAATAAAATACAATGCTATGGGTTAGTAATATAATGCTATGGGTTAGTTTACAAATAAAGGAATAAAAGTTAAAAATATTTAAAAATAAAGTGCACCAGAACAGAAAGTGACAAGTGAAAGTGACCTGTCGAATGTCAGAGTCAGTCAGCGGGTTCTGTTGATGAGCCCCACTGCCGACGGGAAGAAAAATGAGTTTATTCTCAAGTTTAATTTCCTGTGGTGTTTGGTTTCATTTTACATTGGAATGAGAACCATCCTAATATGATCATAATGACTGCTCCTGACAGGATCCAGACTTTTTGGGATTGAACTTTTGGAGACAATACGTTTCTACTGAGGCAACCAATTACAGCAAATTAATTCTATTTAAGCTTCCTTGAAATGAAAACAAGTGCATGAAATGTATAATTCAACTTAACTGTGATATTCCTGTGAAAATACCGCAGCAGTCAAATCCAAAGTGCTTCGGAAGCAGCCGCCATTCTTTTTCTTGCTTCTGTCGTTTGTTTTATGGGCCCAAAACCCACACACATTTATTGGAATGAATTAATATTGTATTTAGGGTCATGACTATTAGCGATATGTCAGGAGCTCATTATGGGATTGTCAAGAGTTGGACTAATATTATCTAAATCTTAGTGATTTATGCAAACCGTCTTTGCAGCCAAATTAATATTGATACGGTAATAAACCTTAACCAACAAGCCCACCCATTCTATTAAAGTGCCTTAATTTAGGGAAAGTGAATCACCATTAGGAGTAATAAAACATATTCTATACATCATGGTGCCGTTGAAGTAATTATTGACCCTAGAGAGGTACTTTAGTCCATATTGCTCATATTGCTCATTCATATGAGATCCTCAATGAAAAACCTTTTGACATGACACAGAGAATATTTCTTCCATTGATGAACGATGCTTTAAGACAAGGGGAGTTGCAGATTTGTGTAAGAATTGGCTGCAGGTTCATCAGTACCAGAGATTGTAGTCAACAGTATGGGGAGGATAGAAGAAAAATCTGTTCATTTTAGGTGGGCAAGCGGCAAAGAAGAAGAATAACGCAACTTTTGGGTTGCAAGCAAGTAGACCGAAAAAATAAGCTTGTAAAAGTATAGAGTTTACCACGGTGATAATCCTCACACCTCAATCTTCTCTCACAGAGTTTGTGTGGGCCAGTGCGAAAATTAAAAGGGAAGTGACTGGAAGGAGAGAGAAGGTTGTCTTTGTAACTTTTTGTTTGGAACCAGAAAAACAAATTTGAAATAATTTGGCCAATGTTTCTTGGCCGAGGATTGTGTCGCAAGTGGCACGTGATTTACAATTGACGGTATCCCTCCTTGAGTTTGATTTGCTGCCTAGGGATCAGTTCAATGTTAGCAGCTTTAATGATATATGCAGTTTAAAGCTGCTGGTACATAATCACCAGTCAGTTACTTAGTTCACTGGAATTTCAGCAAGATTGTTATAATAAAACAACATGAATAAGAATACAGATAATATTGAATAGTGCAAACGCACCGAGGCTATTTAAAGCTCACCTGATTGTAATTCTCCAGCTTGCATTTCCAGTCATGTACACAGATAGAAACACGCACACACTCATGCACTAAATAGGGGAATCTTTCCAGCTTTCGCGCGCCTGTTGCCATGGAGATTGCCATTGCTGCCCATGTCGAGTGATGGAACATCAAAAGAAAATGCTCCATTAACCACACGTACACACATACACACACGCACACACACTCTTAGACACACTGTAGATGCAAACAGAAGCACCCACTTCCTCCACTGAAGGGTCACAGTGTCACCGAGCAGGGAGTCAATGGGCCAGTCATACAACATGGGAGTCAGAGCCAGAGCTAAAATGCACATTTGGTTGGTACCTCGTGCGATTATTAATAGTAAACTTCAGTGACGTTTGAAATAGCTTCAGTTGATCTGTAATGGCAAAACCGCTTAAATTATTGTGTAGATTATGTATGAAATAGTATTCTATTTTTGACTGTGAAAGAATTAAAGGGATGTTTTGGGTTGCCTCTCCCGAATCCCTTTCAGTGCTGAGTGCTTCTTTATCAGGAATTAGCCTAAACACCAAATATCAACAATAGGTATTGTGCATTCATACTATATTTTATGACAACATAGTCAGGTCACTGCCAGGTTTACAATGCATCCCGGTACATGGAAAAAAATATCAGTCTTTTCAGTGCTGCAAGAAACTCTGCAGAGTGCATTTTTCTATGTATGTATGAGTGTGTGTGTGAAGTTTAGGTTTGTGGGTGTTTTCATTTCGTAATTCCAGCCATTCATCCACATACTCCACTCCACACGCACTGCTTAAGTTCATTCATCTTAGTTATCTTTTGAAACAGCTCAGCAGAATCTACATCATTCCTTAATGGAAGCTTTAAAGTCTAGTTTAGAGTCATGGCATCATTTGTAATGCAAGAGGTCCACTAAGGGTCTAGGACTGTTGACCTTGTTACAGGAATAGACTCATTTTATTTAATTATACAACCCGTTTGTGTCCTGGGTTGAGCTCCCTGTGGTTTGATTTAACTTGCTGGTGCATTTGAGATTACCCCCTACAAGGAAAACATTATTTATTCCATTAAGCATTTATTCTCTGCTATGCTTCAGCAGCCCCATAACATCGAGACATTCAAAAGCTATTCATCACTTGACAAACTTGATAAAGTTTGACCGAGCTAAAATTGAATAATACGTCTAAATAGTCAAATTTGCAATCATACGTGCGCCCTGCAGAGTTTGTAGCAAGAATTACACCATGTCATGAGCACCTAGCATCAATGCCAGATGCGCGCAGAGCGGGTTTTTTTCATGGATTATCTAAATTGAGCCAGTGTAGCCAAAGGAGGTTTGACCCCGGCAAACTCACCCACACACACTAAGATATCTGCAGTTAATCCTCTTAAAGCATAATTTAACCAGGTCCGTACTAACACACACACAGACATACACAACAGTCAAAGTCTTGAAACGTGTAAATATCCGACCTTAGTCCTACCATACCTGCCCTGGTGTCCTAGGTTCACATTCATATTTGCATTACTGAATGAATACTGTAATGATTCCTTTCATCCCTTTGTGTGCGCATGCATGCATTCTGCACTTAAAAGTAATGCCACTTAAAACAGAGGGAAAGCTGATTGTGTTAATATGTCAGCATCTGTGTTTCTTTGCGTGCATGCCAGTTTGTTTGTGGATGCGCATGTGCATGTGTGTCTCAGTCAGTGCTTGTAGTTTGTGTGACCATGTGTGTTGACAAATTAGGGATGCTCCTGGCGTTGGATCTGCCGTTTGTGTGTTCTTATGTTTCCTCCGAAGCATATTGTTCTCTGCAGTGTGCTCTGCTTAATCCATCTAAAAATCAAATATAGTGTACTGTACTCAAATCTCACGTTTCACTGGGGACGAGGATAGAGAACAATCAAACTCCAGTTTCAATTGCTTACGTTAAACCTTGGAGCCTGTCATGCACGCTCCTGAAACACAGTATTGCCGTTTAGAAATGTGCAATGAAACATGTAGGCCAGGAAAAGCTTAGGATGTCGCTTCATTCTATTACACTGCCGCTCTGAGGCTCACTCGGCTCTTCTGGTTGAGTTAACACACACACACACCCACCCTCCCGCCTCCCTCAAAGGACATGACTCATCGTGGCCATCAATGTGCATGCACCGACATGTTTCTTTGAAAGTGTTGCTTTCTGTGTGAAGTGGATTCTCCCTTTTCCCTTCATCAGCACGTTTAGTGTCCCGTCGTATGAGTTTAGGCCCCTGGAGGCCTCTGTCTTTAATAGAAGGCACACTCCGTATCTCTACGGCGGGTTAATGGCCCCTGAGGACGAGGGGCTAAGATCCGACAGCAATATTGTGCCGTAACGTTGACACGACTCACTCCTCGACTTGAGTCACTCCACAATGGTTGAGATACGGTCAGACGTGTGGAACAGATTACAGCTGAAAAGCAGCCCTTCAGTGGCGTAAAGGTCAAGGAATATATTTCCATCAATTGAGATGGTATTGGTAGACAGCTGTACGCTTCCACAGAGCTTGATGCTTGAAGCGGGATGAGCGGCAGAATCTGACAAATGGGTCGGAGAATATTTTTAAATTAGCGAGCACTTTACATCAAGGAATAATTGTGCCGTTTAAGGCAAGATAGAGGAACTGTGGGTCTACATTTGCTGCCGTTTCTGTTCTTCCGTGTGTGGGATTTTCTTCCCGCTTGAAAAATCTCATCTCGCTTCTCTCTTCTTTGTCCCGTCATCTTCTGAATGTTTTTTTCTCTCTCTCTCTTTGAATTAAAGCTTAGAGCAGCAAACAGTGCCGGCTGAATCTGCTGCTGACATTTAAAAAGTGCTCTTCTAATGCCCTGAAACAGGGACTGCATATGGATTCCAGGCATGAGGAGATGTTTGTTTAGTATTAAAAAGGCAAAGAAAATCAGGAACAGATAGTGTGACGCGCTGTAAAGAATAAACTGTATCTATTCTCTAAATAAAAGGACTCAGATTGTATTTATGTCATCCTTTTTCTTTCTTGAAGGAAGTCGAGGTTGCCCAAAGCTGTGCTTTAATTGCATATGTACAATATTTTTGATAGAAACCTACCATTTGAGGGACCTTTTCATTTTGGCTGCTTTACATTGAGATGCCAAAGTGCCCTTAAGGGAAAAAACAGGGTCTCCTCACACTTGTCTCCCCTTTGGTCAGCATCACCATCACCTTCATGTGCCGCCCTCTCAGGCTGCAGAAGAGCACACGTTACTGAGGAGCAACGCGTTCCACGGGGGGGTTGAATCAGTCGATAGAAACCATTGTTGTGGAATGAATCTCTGTCATCTCCTTTCTCTGGTTTCCTGCTGTCCTCTACCTCCTCTTACGTTTGAATTACAAATCAATCTTCCTCTACGTTTTTCCAAATGCTTTTAGTGGCACCAAATGGGCATGATCACCTCCTCGCGGGAGGGTTTATTTATTTCTAATTTTTTTTTTCTCAGCAGCAGTGTTAGAAGTGTCACATACATGAGCCCACAATGGCGTGCAAAGGCACAGGTTGCGAAAGGGGGATGGAAGATGGATGGGTGGAGAAGGAGGTGGGGCTTGCGGTGCAGGGTGGATGGTTTTTCCATGTCTCAACCCCACCTTATGGGCGTTCGAAGGAAACCCCTTCCAGCTGCTGCACACGGCACGTGGCGCTACGAGGCTGCAGCACGACGCGCGCACGTAGCCCGTGATGTAGAAGGATGATGACGGGAGAGGAGAGGAGAGGGGAGGGAGCAGGGGGGGGGGGGAGACAGCCAGTGAGCGCGTCGAGTGAGTGAGCGAGAGGAGAGGAGCAGAGTGAAAGGGAATAAGCCGAGAGAGAGAGAGAGAGAGAGAGAGAGAGAGAGAGAGAGAGAGAGAGAGAGAGCGAGCAGCACCTCTCTGGCGCATTTCTGCTCTCAGCAGCTCAAGAGGCAGGGACGGCAGAGACGAGCGGGGGGGAATAAACCCCCCATACTTCTTCAAAGGGGGGTTAAAACAAGACTCTTTCTCTCTCTCTCCCTCCATTGGACCACACTCGCAGTCACACACAAACATTTGCGAGAGCCGTGAGTCTCGCGGGCGGGGGGGGGGGCGGCGAGAGAGAACCGCCACGCACAAACGCACGCCGTTTCGCTGGCTTAAGCTGTGCTTGAGAGAGCCGAAGACCTGGACCAGAGCTGTTTCCATCGCTCCATCCATCCTCTCCTTCCTGCAGCTCAGAAGCAGCTCTCCTTCAGCCCTTATCACCCCCCCCCCCACTCCCCTCCACCTCCCACCACCCCCTGCACACCCCCTTTTGATTATCCGGACCGATTGTGCTCCCTGCCGTTGGTCTGTCCTCAGATCAGCGCGTCTCTCTCTCTCTGTAACCGGCTGCGCTTTCACTTCAATCCAGCGGAGAGGCCGAGAGGCGTAACCCGGGAGAGAGCGACCACCCGAGCGGCTGAGAGACCGACCGCCCGACCGCCACCATGAACTTCCTCCGCCGCCGCCTCTCTGACAGCAGCTTCATGTCCAACCTGCCCAATGGCTACATGTCGGACCTCCAGAGGTCGGACCCACCTGCTCCTCCTCCCCCAGCCGCCACCTCCCCTTCCCAGCAGCACCCAGGCGCAGCGGCGGCGACGACGGGCTCAGCACTGTCCCCGACCCAAGCCCCGGCCGCGGCCCCGGCCCAGGCTCCCGCCGGATCCCCCGCCACTCAGGAACGGCGTGCGAGCCAGCAGGCCCAGCAGCCTCCGCAGGCCCAGTCCTCCTCCTCCGGTGGTTCCTCTGGCTTCTTCAGCTCCTTCAGCTCCATCACCAACGCCGTCAAACAGACGGCCGCCGGGCTCGTGGAGCAGTCGGTTCCCTCCCCCTCGCTCTCCAAGAAGTTCAAGATCCTGTTGGTCATCGATGAGCCCCAGCACGAGTGGTGAGTGTTCAATGAGTGTTGGCCAATTGGCTGATGGGAAGTTAGCTGGACGGTTGTATCAGCTGGCGCGGGGAGTTGTGATTTCTTTGGGACGCTCTTTGCACTTGGTGCGAGAAATATTTTGTGTTCTAGTCAGCCAGAAGGAATGAGGCTTCACTCTCTTACATTACTTTGGCCCCAACATCGATTGACACAAGCGATTGATTTCAATCCTGAATGACTTCTTACATCACCGTAAAACGTTTTCTCCTCATTGACTAAAGCTGCTCCCGAAATAGAAACCGCTCTATTAATCTCCGGCATTGAAGCTTTTCTCTTGCGTTTGGATCCAAATGCCGCACCAGGGCTGTCACATGCTTCCCTTTTTGTGTATTTGTGTGAAGTTTTATGACGCCGTGCGAATTCTACGGCCCGTGCTGGAGAGCTATGAGCAGGCGAGTCGTCGTGTAATGACATCGGCTAACAGGATATTATACTCAAGCTGTTAAATCATATATCAAGAACTGGTACCCGAGAGCATGTAGCTCCGCATGAAACACCTTGAACACCAGTGAAATGTCAGCCCTCGCCTGTGTGACTACCTCCCTGCCAGAAGGATTTCTGTGTGGATGTTGATGATGGATTTCACAGCCGCTTATTGCTGTCATCATCTCGGTGCCTTATTGGATGTGATGGAGCAGCGACACTTTTCATCTTTTGCTATTTCATTGGGCGTCCTCCATGTGGTCATGAGTGTGTTTTCTGTATTTAAATAAAAAAAAAAAACATAAGTTGGACCTCGTCAAGGGGCTTTTAAGCCAACGGGGACCTGAAGTCCTGAAGTGGCTTACTATAATTGAGAGTTCGGACATTAAGGAGTTGAAAAATTAGTGAACTCAATCTGCTGCTGAAGACTGTGTCACACGGCCAAAAGCTCCAGAACAAGCAAATATGAGTTGGGATGCATTATGCACCGCCATGTTTAGAGAGACACGCGCGGTTTCACCACTACGAACCTTCTGAATGTCGCTGGCAGCTCCACATGATGGTAATCCTGCGTCTTCTCGCTGCTAGTGTTTTGGTGGATCATGATTGGCCGGCTGCAACTTTCCCGGTGATGCGATGTCTGAATCTGAATCCCTGCAGCTTACTTTCAGAAATCAGGCGCAATGGCTTTACCGAGTGAACTCCTGCTCCTACAAAGTACATGTCAGAATCATATATCTGGATTTGATAAAGTATTTTCAGTTGAATTGGAAACGCAGGGAGAGCAGGTTCTACTGCACATAGACAGAGTTTATTCCTTCACAGTTAGCTGCCTTTTTCAGCCAAATAGTTGTCCCTTTAAAATCCAGCCTGTTTTTGCTAAAACCGCGTATGGCCTGAAACTAAGGACCTCCGTTGGCAACCTGGTGGACTCCCATGAGGTACTGATGTTTTCCAAAGGAGAGCTAATTACTACTTACTGCTATTCTGCTAAACGTTATAGATTTTTCACCCACGATTAGTCTGCACCACTGTAAACTTCACAAGAAAGAGCAACTGCTCGCCACAGCTTCATAATGGACCAAAAATCATTCGTGCCCCCCCTCAACGTGCGGGGTCAACACGGCCTGCTCGGAGGATTGAACTCAATTTGGCTTGGATCCCAAACTCATCCCGAAGGCTGTGCCGTCCGCGTACAAAGTGAGTGATTCGCGTGGTCACGAGATTGTTTGCGATACAGATTTGGACCAATTAGCACAGTTGATGATTGCATTGGTATTAATACAATGATACCAAAACTAAGCTCACAAGCAAAGAAACATGTGCAATTAGAATGAATAATTTCCACCCGTCACTTCCAAATGTATGATGGTAATGAGACGCAGAGGGATGAGGCGGCTTCCTGCGGGACCTCTCAGGGGAACATGAGCACAGAGGGGAGGACTAAGGGAGACGGAAGTTCCCCCCATCTGACGTGCATGTCACCCTGTTTGTCTCGCCCTGTGTTTTTTTTTTTTTTATCCGCCTCGTCGCTCTTCGCTCCGCGCCCCCGCACCTCACCCACTCCCCCTTTCCGCTTCTTACCATGACAGTCTCTCTGTGCGCGGCCCCCGGAGGAAGTGCTCCGGGTTCCTGGTGTGATGAAGTGATGAGAGGCGACGTGGTGATTCAGCAGTTTCTGCCCAAAGGCCACATCTGCTCTCTTTCCTTTGGTCTCTATATCTCTCTGCATCTCTCTCGCTGCCTCTCTTTGCTCTCCCTTTGTCCATCCCTCTCTGTTTATCTGTTGAGTATGCACTCTGCAGTCTGTGCATCAGTACCAGTGAGGGCATGTGCCACCTATATTACGTAAGTACTGAGGACATTATTTTGGGCTCTTGACTTTGACGTGACTCATGGCGGATTTGTTGCTCTGGATGCCGGTTGATGCACAGACGAGCAGCCACTGATGGTGAATGTCACCCGATCACCCCCAAAGTTAACTGGTTGGTATTTGGGAGCGCACCGATTGGCCAATGAGTAAAAACTTTCAGTGTGTGTGTGGGGGGGGATCCACAGCGAGAAGAATGAGCATGGAAACCGCAAAAAAGTATGAATATGACTTTAATTTAGAGCTGCATTATGTTTGTGCCGACCCTTGTAGGCAAGCATGCGCATCATTTTAATTTTCTCCATCAGAGACAGAGACAGGACACACAGTGAGAGCAGGTGGGGAGGCGGAGCCGTGTATAACTCAACATCTCTCTCTCTCTCTCTCTCACACACACACACACAAGTACCTGCATGCTCGGTTTCTGTTTTCAGTCATATAATTATACACATTGGGAACACTCAAATTTCAATCAGACTTTTTTGTTGATAAGCTTTTGTCAACGTTTCTGCTCGCCAAGTTTACTAATGAAACTGCAGTTTTGATGGCAGGAACTCTCTGCGGCGTCGTGGTTGTCAGCTGCAGGTCCACATGCACAGACGCAGAGAACTGACCTTATTACAGCTTGTGGCAATGTCGTGTTGGCTTTATGAGGTCCTCCCGGTTAATGCCTCTGATGTCTTGTACCTCTCAGATGTTACTAGATCAGTGGCATTTTCAGCCAACGGGATGATACAGAAACAGCTCTATGGTCAAATTTGTGTGATTGTTTTAAAAGTTCAAAACTTGTAAAGTGACTGTCCTCGCAATTATTTGTACCTTTATCTGACACACACTGCTTGAAACATTTGCATTAAAAAATGCCTAAGCCACTATTCTAAAAATGTACAGTTTAGTTTATTAAAAATAGTAATTTATTTGCCAACAGTTACATGCTGAATGGCGAAAGCTGCGCACTGGTTTTATTCTGCAGCTTTCTGGATTAGCACCTTTATTAATATCCCATGCTTATGTATTCAATACGGTGTCCGTGAGGAGCACCAGGTAAACAGGCTTGTGTTTGCTCCGAGGGGACCAGGCTGGAGGGAATACAGATTTGTGGCGCTGCCGATGTCAATACCAACTGAGCAGCATTAAACCAATCCCAATGGGCTGCTGAGACTAAAGATCACGCTTCTAATTCATGCCAGGGAAAGCAGTTTGCCTTTCAGCTAATTTAAATGAGGCAGGAAGTAAAATATCCCCCTTGGTTTCCTTTTACTTTTTCCTATCACTTTGCTTTGAATTTCTTCATTTTTTAAAGACTGATCGATAAGCACAGCACATAGAGCCTCTGCTATCTCTATATAGTCTTAGGCTGTAAGACTAGAAGAGACAAACGGCTTGAGAGGCTTTAATAGAAAAAAACACCATCTATCCAAGAAGCCACTATTCACTCTTTAAAACAGCGGTCAGGCCAAATATTTTACTTGATGATATCATACTGCAGTCTTGGCCTCAAAATAACTAACTTTTATACACATTAATAATGACTAATTATGTGGAAAGCACGTAATCTCCAAGGACAAAGAAATATGTTCGTTTTTTTCTTATTTGGCAATTCCCCTGTTTTGACCTTCTTATCGTGGCACGTGCACATTGCACAAACACACCTCTTCAGTTCTCTTGAATAGACTCTTCAGTGGGATCCGGTGGCAGTGTGACGAGTGAGGTCGGCCCTCTGAGACTCAACGCAAAACCTTTTTACTGCGTCATCATTCTAGATATTTCCATTTCTCGGAAGTCTTAACCTATTATCTATCTCCCGTTGGCTACTAAAACACGATACGTGAATGGAGAAATCTGATTAAGAGGCATCGTATCTAAAATAGCCGAGTGTTTTTGTGCTGGCAGCTCCTCTGAGTCCGTTGCAATATTCCAGTAAACCTGTTACTATGCACAGAGATCCCTAAGAGGGCCATGAACGAGAGCAATCCACCCAACAACCTTGGGTGAAATAGCCCTGGCCGTTGCTCTGGCAACAGCAAATCCTCTAAAACAAATTGTGAAATGGTTGAAAAGACCTCAATTTGATTTTCTTTTACCTCTAAAACACCGTAATTAACTTTTACTTTTGCTGCATTAGTTCAACTAATAAATTAAACAATTAAGACATCAATTTTGCTTTATAAAAGTAGTTTCTACAAGGCGTCGACCCATTTATGTCAGACATGATTATAAACTGTGGCTCTGATTTGCACTTTCGTGGTGAGGTGAACCGCCTGCTGTTGTAGAAATGGGAGAGACTATCATTTAAATACTCGAATAACATTTTCAGACAGTGTCTCCTTGAAGGAGACGAGGAATGATAGGGATTTCAAACCCTGACAACCTCCTTTACACGTAAGGAATAAAAACAAAAAAGCAAAATGCAGATTAGCTCTCAGCTAATAGATCCAAACCGATTATAGACTAAAAATACAAATTAGACAAAATCGTAAATCAACTATAAAACCCCAGCGGAGTGCCTAGAGATTAAACTCCAAAAGAGCACAGAGGGGGTCGATAAAAAAGGTTTGGAACGAAGAATGGAACGAAGAATGGACTGAACGGTGGACGTAACAGTGTCAGCTAAACTGCTGCTGAATTGTAGGGGTTGCTACTGGCAACAGATCACCAAACCAAA